ACACTTTTGGTGCAAGAATGCCTTTATCGTTTGTTCGTTTGCAAAAGAGGGGCTAATTTATCTCAAAACTCAAATTTGTATTTATATCATGTCAGTCCAGTAAACGAAACAAATTTTACAAACATCTAGTGTAAAATGTCGATAAAAATTAACAAGACAGAAAATAATTATTTTCAAAAAAAAAAAAGTATGTTAAATATAAAAACAACTGATTTCGAGCGAAATATGTTGTTGATTATTGCATTCGAGAACGTTTAGAATTAATGCAGACCGTTGGCATTGGATATAATCTGGAAGTGAGAAGAAAGGTAAAATTAGCTGAAAATCACAGTAACTTGAAAAAACTTGACAGACTCGAGAAACTAATTTGCTCAGATAAGATTCATATCAGCGATATGTCCTCACAAAAAAACCATGTTAGGTAGCACAATAAGTGATCGTTAAATATTACCCCTGAATTTTGTTCCATACCGAAGGCCATACCTTGCTTCCACAACATGCACGGTGCTCGTCTATTTATAGTACGACGATAACAATAAATCTTCATTTATACACGCAGTAATGATCAGAATTCTTTGTTATGACCCGGTCTCGCAGTTCAATAACTCATGTTTGCATTCAACGTATATAGTATCTGATTGATAAGTTATCACATTCTAGACCAATGATATATTAATTCGGTACGTAACACTGCTTTTGAAATTCTGCTTTGTTCTTTTCGTCCTTGTCATTTTTTGAATACTCACGGAATTATATCGCACGTATTCTGATAGGTACGCAATTCTGTAACGAACAGCCTCATTACATGAGTTACGGGCTGTTCATACAAACTGCCGAAAGCAGAAACAATAGTATGACCCAGTATAGGAAGTTGATTATATCATAATGAACAATGTTTGTTAAATTCTGGGTAAGTAATTAAGTTGTTTGCATATATATGACCTTTATTGAATTCTAGACTTTCGGCAAACTCGACAATTGTTTGCTTTATGCCGAATTAATGTATCGAGTACATAACAGTGTCATCTTCTTGTCACAGCTGTTTGTTGTGATGTCCGCCTGACTTTGGGTTATAGCCATTAATGTAAATGGCTATAGATTTGGATTTCCTTTTTTAATGTTGCGTGACACTCTTGTGATCAATGTCATTTACATGACGGGTCTGATGACGGGCCATCTGACCAAACTATTTCAGAAACTTAAACCTTAAAGAAGTTGTATTCTCGTACTGATCAGATCTTGCCACGTTGACAAATACATCGGATTGGTAAAGTGATCAGCATATAATGTATAACCGCTAGTTGGCAAAATATCGGTAAGGTGAAACTTTGCTGGTTAGACGGAACTATCAACAGGATTTACCACAAAAAAAGGTAGTTATACCATGTTTTTTAAAGTTCATATATTTATTTATTTATCCAGGCAGCCAGCATTTCGGAATTATTTATTTATAGCATATTTATCATATGTGAGACCAAGTTAGCGAGAAATTTGCTTAATTTTAGGGTTTACCTAACTTTTCATATATCATAGTCAATCCATACGTTATTCTAATTTTATTCTTATAGGTATGCGTAGATCAGCACCAGCCAATAGAAGACATATCACATGTTGAAAAAAAAAGATAATTTAGAAGATGTTAATGTAATCATATCCCCCTTCAAAGAGAGGGTATTCTATCTGTGGGGCATACAGGTTAAGCTCTGAGACTTCCGGAACTTGAATTGTCTGAGGGGGTGACATTATTTCTTCAACCTCCCGCTTTTCAGGTCGCAGAGGATTAACCCGCATCACTGGCTTCTGCCTCCGCGGGTGAAAGCGATATTGGGGATTACGGGCACAATGGTCCGCTTCCCCCTCTTCTGCGAATTTAGAAAAAAGGCCCCTTTGATCCCCCATGTTCTTCCAGAGAATCGATGCGACTTTTGTCAAAATGGGCCTGGGAATGGGCCCGATGTGCACCCGGGCGTATTTGGCGAGGGAACACTGAAACTGCATATAGCAGTTCAGAGGGCGTTTGGAGGGGTCGATCTGGCGCTGGTAGCCATCGTCTAACGCAAATTTCACCAGCGCGTTGATCGAAATTTGCCGCGCGATGTCGGTCGGATCACACGGCGATGTGTGTGTTTGTTTTTTTTTATGGATGCCATTATTGGCATCCGATGGCGTGTTGTACTGGCGGATATCGTGTTGGCGGATCTGGGTTTTTGGGGACATTTTTCTAACGACGGGTGTGTTATTGGTGTTATTGGTGTTGTTGGTGTTGTTGGTGTTATTGGTGTAATGGTGTTATTTTCTCGCAACTTAATGGTGATAATTTTGGTGCTTTTAATCCCAGCGGCCCAAGCAAAGCCTTTTATTACTCGTATTTATTAATTTTTCTTGATTTGTGATACTTTCCTTCTTCCTGTGTATGCAATTTATCGTTATTATTTTTAAAAATTAAAAGTTATTTTTATCTTGTAACTATTTGTTTGATCGTTGTACGTCGTTATTCGTTACCGAATTGGATCACGAGAGCAAGTAATGAGACGTCGTGTCCCACAATGTTTTGGATTACCAATCGGCTAACGTAGCAATTGCAGGTCGGGTGAAGCATATACCATATAACAACACTAATTAAGAAACGTTGAGGTGTATCATATTGACATGGGAATAGTCTTGTTAGCCGTGCAGCTTGCTCTTGACAGAAAAGAAAAGATCTAAGATAGCTACGGATAATAACGTGCCAGAGGATATGCACAAAAGGTATTGCTGTCTTTAACAGTACTCTACTTAATAAATCTATACAAAGAAACAATAATTATTCAACAGACTAATGTGTAGCCTTATTTGAACACAAGGACTCCGAACGCTCCGATGCTCCCAAAACATTGACTTTGCCACAAGCAATATGGCAAACAAAAACAACTCAATGACGATTCACACGCTGTAAAGCTTCATCTCGCAGTATATCAAACTAGTTTATCTGGACAGGATAAATCAGTTTCAAAGCCCGGTAGAATATTTTGGACGAATGTGTTTCCGGAAATAGGTAATTTATGATCATCAGTTATCTATGAATTGCATATGCTACCTGTGTCACAAAACTGTTCAAATCCCGGTACTGAATGATCGACCGCACATAATAATAACAATAATTCGTCGTAAATAAAGAAATATAACAATAAAATCTTTAGTTTAGCAACCCGCAGTAGCGTAAAATTCCAACTGTATGGAGCATTAGGTGTGAAACGACATGTATGGCAACATATTGAACATACGGAATTTCTGCTTCGAAATTCTTTGTCTTTCTTCTTTTCTCCTGACAAGTAAATGGCTTCAGAGAAAATGAAGGGGAATAAAAAAAATTCGGCTTTTATCTTAAAGATAAATTCACCATAATTGTAAATGTTGAAAGTAAAACTTGTTTAGTTGTTGAACAAAATATGGAATTTTACCTCCGTTCTACTGGAACCAAATTTACCCGCCCTTTCTATGCGTTTTGTTTGTTTCATAACCCTTTCTATGTTTAATTATACGTTTGGTTTGTTTCATAGCTATTTTCCGCATTGATGTTCCGGAGAAGTATGACCGACAATGATACAATTATTCTGCATTTACCGGGCAATTGAAGAGAATAATAGGGTGGTCACTCTAAACACATATGTACGAAAATGGTAAAGAATTCGCGGATGTGTTGGTGATTGGTGAATTAAAGTTTACCCTTGAGCAATTCATTTACATTGCATTTGGGTTTAAAGCACAAGAATGCAAACACAGCCTTACGCGCTAGTCATTTGCGTATGTTTGATACGTAAATTATTAATATAACGTTGTAACACTAGTTATGTCACTGGGACAATTAGTCGAGATAAACGTTGGGGAGTGGGAAGGTAGCACACAACATCAAAGACGATGATTGATAAAACTATGCTATTGGGCTTACCCATTTATTTTTGCAGGGAATTTGGGTTACTATAATTGTTGCTAACCCTTTTCTCCTTATTGTGCTATTATTATTGATTACTACGCTTAACAGTATAATGGCTACAATGGTTACTAGATCAGGTCCTGAATATACATATGCCACAAGAAATTATTGGTACATTTTCAATATAAGGGCTCAATTTGCCATATATATGCATGTATTACAATACTGAGGCTCAACAAAGGCGTAACAAATTATAGCCTAACTGTCCTTATTGTTTATATGAACTCGGGATTGTGTTACTCAAAAGTTAAAATATAAAATTCATTGGGGGACGCCGCGAGAATTTTTAAACTTCCTGAAAACATTATTAGATAAAAAAACCATCATGGTAGGCAGCATTCACAAAACTCAAGGAAATTCTAAAGTCTCAAAGAGAACGTCTTCGAATATCCAAAACCGTAGAGCTACTCGTCAGCAGCCAACTATTTCTTCAAATTCTTCCCTGCCAACTATTTCTTCAAATTCTTCCCTGCCAACTATTTCTTTAAATTCTTCCCTCCCTCTTTCGTTCAACCCCGATAATATCCCTAAAATTAAAAAACTTCTCAACCTTCACCCACCCCCGTACTCCGTGGAAGAATTATGTGCCAATCGCTTTGTAGGAGAGGATGAAAAGGTTCTACGCCCATCGAATTGTTGGATACTTTTTCGAACCTGTGCGGCGCGACGTAGTCGGGAGCTGCCAGAATTTAAAGATATTCAGCAACAGCAACTTTCGGAAATATTTGCAATGTTATGGGGTGAGTGTAGCGGCGCTGAAAAAGAACAATATCGTCAATTACAACGACAAGTAAAGAAATTGCATCAGCAATATCATAAAGATTGGAGTTATAAGCCAGCAAGAGGTAATTGTTGGCGAGTTCAAAGAGCACAAGGTGAATATGTTGATAGTCGACCTAACGAAATTCAAGGTTATCAAACCATCCAAGTGATAACGTTTCAAGTAACGACCAACAACAACGGCAATAACAATAACGATAACATTAACAATAGCGATGGCGATAACATTAACAATAGCGATAACGATAACGATAACAACAGCGGCAGCAGCAGCAGCAGCAACAACAACAACAACAACAACAACAACAACAACGATGATACTCATACGGAAAATAATTACACTTTAAACGAAATACGAGGCACCCAATATAACGTCTTAAGTGAAGACAACAACCAATGTAACGGTTGCATTTTTGATACCATGAACCAGTACAACGTTGCCGCTCAGTCACACACAGTACATATCGTTGAAACTCAGATGGTTCCGCCCTCATACTTGCATGAATCGTTTTCTTGTGTACCCGAGGGACACTCGCAATCCTGGGTACAATCACCATTCGCTGAGACCGAAAACTCGCTTTCTTGTGCTTCGTCACCAATATTCCCTCACTGTGCATCACCGACGATGTCAGCTGACGAATATTCGTTTTTCTCGCCGCTCGCTGAAATTGAACCCCCATTTTCACCTGATGGTAACTCGTTTTTGTCGCCATCCACTGAGATTGAAAACCCATTATCACCCGATGGTAACTCGTTTTTGTCGCCACCCACTGAGATTGAAAACACATTTTCACCCGATGGCAGCGGCTTGCTTTTGTCGCCACTCACTGAGACCGTAGACCTGCTTTCCGATATGTCTATATTATTGGGTCAATCGCTTGTCTATGAAACATCACCGACCATGTTATCCGATAACCACACGCATTTGTGGCCAATTTTTGAAACATCATATGATGGGTATGCGTCACCACCATTCAATGATGATCTTGTTGATTACCACCAAAATGACGGGTGGACCTAAGAAAAAAACATTTAATATATCACATGCGCTTTTTTTCATAACTTATGGTACAAATTTTTATGACAATTAAGGATAAACATATTTTTATAGGGTTGCTATATTATTATATAGTGCATATATGGACGTTTATGATGTATTTTTGACTTAAGAATAAAATTGGACATTTATTACAATGTAATACGAGTGAAAAAATGCATTCTGATCTGTAGCGGTAGACTAGCTAACAATTTTTTTTATTTTCACAGCTGCAGCGACCAACACTCTACGAATAATTTTTTATTTTTTGCTTGTAACCCAATATTACCATCGACATGCACACCTTCTCTTACAGCTACGGCAAACAATCGGTAGAAGCCTAATTGATATCGCAGACTGGGTTTCTAATTTTAGCTTGTGTATCAGGATTCTTTTAATGTAACAAGAACGAGCTTCCCAATCTATCGCCTTTTGATTTGTCTGGTCAATGAAATGTGTGCACAAAAAACGGATAACGTTTATCATATCACATAGCGTAAAGATGGGATGCTTATTTCTTAAATGAGATTGTTATGGATAAAGATGGGGATCAAAAAAACCAGTTAAATCATTGTCATTCAAATAACGCCATGAATACATGACGAGTCGCTGGGGTTTTTTGGGCTGGTGTGCTTATTCGAATGGATATGATTCGATAGTATGGTTCCTCAACATGATGTATAATGAGTCATCCATTTCATTTGTGCAGCGAGTGTTGAGTCATAGAAGTATCATAACCAGAGAGGTTTGTCAAACAGCTACTGAACTTTGATTACGGAATGTATCACATATTTGGCGTATCCTGATGGACAGAAAACTTGGATCGAACAATAAGGTAGAACTTCGAGTATCGAAAAGTTGTTCCATATGTTCGACAAATAAGGTTAGTTCTGTGACGGTACCCGATTTAAATTTTCTGACCTCGGAACAAACAGTCAAAGTTGTATGACCTGAAACACAAGCCTTATCCTTAAGAGATGAGGTTCTGATGTGAATCCCAGTTCATTCGATATAGAACATGTGGTGAATGTACAGCTTATTTGAGCGGGCGCATGCATTCTCAGAAAGATTTGCTACCAAACTTCTATTGTGACGCAGTGACGAATGATGGTGTGTTGTGACGCAATGACAAATGGGCAATGATTAATATTTATATTGAGTATTTTATATTGGGAATTATATTGAGTATTTCGTCGTATCGAGTATTATATATTGAGTATTGTATATTGAGTGTTATATATAAACTCTATTTTATCGGTTGACAATAAAATTACCATAAATATTTATACGCCATTTATCCATTTTTTGTCTTATCTATAGAGATCCTTTTGAGCTGAAATGCATTATTACGCAAACAGCAATGTTTAAGCAAGGGAAGCAATCAAAGATGATTTGCGATGGACAATCAATCATTAGTGTAACAATGACTAAGTAATCAATAACTTTTCCCACAAAAGATAATTTATCTTCTGTCGAAAAGAAAACGAGCATTGTTCAAAAACTGATTGTTCCGATCGACCTGCATAAGACATATTAAGAACGTTGTTGTCATAGAACAGACCATTGATTCCCCCCCCCCCACTTCCCCCTCAAATGATATTTGATAATCTACATTTTGTTTCCCATATAACCAAACTCATCCCGTGTTATCAGGTAAATGTTCCATTTCCAATGTCGCTGGTTATACGATATGACATCACGGAGATAGGGGGCTAATCCGTCATAATAATAAACAAGCATCATCTGAATGGAAAGGCACTAGCGAAAAGCTGATTCCTATCGGTCGTACAATAGAGAGTTTGAAGTTGTACATTTCATTACATAGTCTTGTCATATTTACGCCCAACATGCTATCTATCAGCATACAATGCGCAATGCTAACCCCCATCATCAGATCTTCTTTCGTGCCTGAATGGCGCCCCAAAAGATGCTTTCTATTACTATTAAGCACTGTATGCGTATATTTATGTTTATGCGATTACACGTGCCTTATGACTTTTAGGAGTATCAAATATTTATCTTATACAAATTCACTTAATGTATGCGTTCCATTATGCATTCTAAATCGGGTAAAAACAACAAACATTTGTCAATGCACCGTATGTATTATGCCTGTGTGTGAAATTCTGGCTAGGGGTGAGGGTGAGGGTGAGGGTGAGGGTGAGAATTAGAGTTGGGGTTAGGGGGTGAAATGAAATGGGGGTGGGGTGGAGGTTGGATTTGGGGTATATTCGCAGCATGTATGTAAGTATGTACGGAGGTCCCATTGTGAACAGTCTCCCGATTTACTATTACTAATGCAACGGCGTATTTTTCCCTTGTTTCCTTCTCGGCTAAACACCAGTATTTACATGACTGAAAGGTAAAAGAAAATAATCTACTTTACCATCTTTCCCCTGCATGTTTGATAGTATACGACTACGGCGCATGCCTTTCAAAATGATCCATAAACGGCTGCTAATATTTTACAGTTTACGATTCTATCCCTGCATACATACATTGCAATGCCCTAGAAGAATCTGCATGCTACCCTTATTCGGACAAAGCAAACCGAAATGACTATATTCTTTCCCTTTTGTTCTTGGCATAACCAACTGCTATCATCAACCTGAAAATTCGTCGAGCGGACGGACCCCTTCCCCCAATGGTGTGTGTAAATCAATTCTCGATGCGTGCAAAGGGATCACAAAGATTCACGCAATTCTTCTGTCACCGAATACATTGATCGTATATACAGTATTCTCTACATTACAACAAGGGTAAATATTGCGCTTACCTAAACGGGATAATTTCACAATTGCCTTGAAAATGAACCATTTTGAGATTATGGAAGATACGAATGAGAAGCGTGCGCAATGCAAGGTCCGGAAATTAACATATATGTGTTGCAAATGTTGTAATATATAATTATATTATACGGGCCCACCGCGATTGTTTTATAAATAATGCTATAGTATATGTGAGGCATTAAACCTGTGTAATACCAGGTTTTTACGATGATTTTTTATATTTAATGTACTTTAATCCAGTTTCATGCTTGCCATATTTATTATATATTTATTATATTTAATATATTTATTATAATTTTATTGTTATTTTTATTATATTCATCGTGCTGCTATACACTTCTTTGTTTCTGCGGCTGGGTTGTATAAATATTGCGCATGCCATTCCCGATTTTTCGCAGAACAACCTCTTTTTTTTGTAACGACATTCTCTACATGAACACTCAAATCAACGAAATTATTTCACGGTATTGCGATCATTCTCCTATAACGCCCGCGATCGCTGAGGAATACCGAGACCTCGACCTCATCTACACCCTCATTCAGCACATTCCTCAAATCCCCTTCAAGGTTCCAGATCTCTTAAAGTACATAGAACCAAATCACGAACATGAATCAGCATCTCAAGAAGGCGAGCGAAAGCAAAAGCGTCCTCCGAACTGTTACTTCATCTTTATGCTCGTTTTTAAAGAATTGCTCAACAGACTGGTAACGGGCGGGAACCATAATCTTGACGGGAAAAGGAGGCAAACGTTAGGAGCGAATTTTTGGAACTGTCTCAAAAAAGAGTACCAAGAACCTTACAAAAATGTTGCTGCAATCGCAGGAAAAGGGTTCCCTCGAATGACGTACGGACGAAAACGCCGAAATGGACGAACCAAGTTTAAGCCGTATGACCCCGAATCAAAAAGGAAACCATCAACGAAAAAGAATCAACACTCCACAACTTCATCAGCAAACAACAGTACGGCTCCATCAATTGGTGACAGCACAAGTAATCCATCCATTCCGTTAACAGGCAGCAGCACAAACTCACCGTTTGCATTAGTTAACAATAACGTGATCCCAATTCCACCAGTCGACAATAGCAGCGTAAACTCGGCTTTTCTACCGACCAGCGACGTGGGCACATCGTCTCTGGCACTCGAGAGCGGCCATATTATATCGCAGGCTCACTTTGACCAATTGCCAGTCGTTGACGATTTGGTATACGTTTTAGAGTTGTCAGCAATCGGGGATATGGAACCTGGAATACATATGCAGTTTGAAGATTCGCCCGCGGAAGCATCACAAGTGTCAATAAATAACGGGTTTCCTCCAGGGGAAACGTCAATAGTCGGTTATAATGGTGTGGTTGACTCAATCAACGCACCATATGGCGTAATTCCATATTTCTTCGATGACTACAGTCCTGAGATATAACAGACATTCTTTGTATAGAGGGAAACGGGGGAGGGGGGAAGGTGACGATCACCGGTTAATTTGATTGGTGGAAAATATAATGATAAAGTACGATATATTATTATAAGACACTAAGATAGATGATTTAAGATATACAATTTATTCTGCAGTGGACATTAAGGCTAGGGAATAAGACTCATTTGTTAAGTTTATCATTAAATAAAAACCCCAAAGTTTGGTGTCAGTGACACAAATAATAGACTGATAAATGGTTTTTTTCGCTTTCTAACCAGTACAGTTTTTTGCGCCTCCCTTCCTTCCCTTTCAAACAATCTCTCATTAAGGAAGACTGGAGGATGCGCAAAAGATGTTCGTATATGGTCAAACAGACGTTGTTGGACAGTATTATTAATCAAATTATTGGTATTCTGACAGCCTTTTGTGCGATTACTTAACACGGTAATAGTCAAAGCGACAAAGGAATCTAATCATCTCGTCGTTTCAGAATCAAGTCAACATGTATATCAGGCAAGTCTAAATAATTAAACGGCAAATATAATAAACCGTTTATCCGTGTAAATGCGCCAGTTGAGTCGGCATCCAACCGTGCGATTCTGCAATCGGTGATTAAGATGTCAAAAGCGGGTGAAACAAAATTAAGAACATAGTTTCCTCCCATATCATTGAAGATTTTTTTAGAGTATAATTGTATTGTTTAATGAATAAGAACTGTGTACGGATTTTGTGTTATCATTGGGATTATGAGTGCATGAGTAGAACTGGAATAGCGCTGTAGAGAACAGTTTGTAGCACACAGCTTCATTCAGGCAAGACTATAGAGTTTGAATAAGATCTGTATATTTTCAAAGATTATCAAAATCAGTATTTATATTTAATAATATTTTTTTATAATAACAAACCAGTTCTCGGTAATACTTGTTTCAAATAAAAAAAAATTTTTTTTGCATAACGATAAGAATACTGGAACGACATAATTCCCATGTACAACCCGGATTAAAAGTAAGCATGCAGATTACCCCAAACAATCTCCATACAGAAGGCTCTTATATAATCGCATATACAGTTATACAGTATATCCCTTACGTTTATTACCAATAATGCATTACGCGCCATACTTTGACAAAGGCACTATGTTATCAATGCGCCAAATGACGTAACACGATATGCATTCAATAAACCTGGAAATCATTCCATCACTCTGATGTTCTGCAACATGTTGTGTTGTGCCAGATACGAGTCAACACAGGGAGACGTTGCCATATATTGTTTACGCCCCCATTAAATCATAATAATAATAATCAAATTTAAACCTTAAACAATACAAACAATGCATTGAGCTCCCCCCCCCCCGGCGCGTAAACGAATGTCGTTCCTGCATTCGATGTTTTTATTGGTTCCTGTATGATGCACAGATTCTAAGCCTTATTAGTCGATGCGTCACCTTCTTTTTACGCTATTGTTCTTTGTCAAAATCTTGACTAGCGCAAAATACTCAAAAACGCATAAAGCGTTTTATGGTATTAGAATGAATAGATACGTTACAGTTGGAATGTTCTTATCAATATGATACATGTACCTTTGTTTGCCCATACATGGACAGATTTGTACTACCACATGATGACTAAAGGAAAAGAAATATTTTGATGAACCCCCCCATTCATTGCATACGGATAGACTGATGCTATTGAGGTAATTATCGTAAAAGTGGATCTCACTTGGTAACATACCTATACTCACGCAAATTTCTATGTGTCCTTTTTGTTCTCTTGCAGCTCTGCATTTTCACAATATTCAATGCGAACGTTCGAGTGAGGGGGTACGTAACAACAACAACAATATGGATGAATCATGAGAATAAGAGTATCACCCTAAGATAACCTCCTAATTGTGCATAACGCATACTCATCACAGTCATTTTTGTAGATGTCCAACGTCTTACTCATAACTCGGTCAGTTTACACCGGTACTTTCTTACGTGAAAATTCAGGCGTCCCAGTTTACCGCAATCCGATTAGAGAAAAAATCTCTCTGCAACTAATATTCGGTTGTCATGCAACAAAAAAAAAAGGACTGACGGACGTATTATCTTTAAGAAAAAGGTAATAATATTAATCTGCGTCGAGTTGCGGGTTTCGATACGAGATGATATCAAGTTAATTATTATGTTCTTTACTTATCATTCAACTGGTAAATGCTTAGGCTGTCGATATAAGGTCCCGTATTACTAGTCGGAAAAGACCAGAGTCTGATACGATGTAGGACTGCTATAAGCGAGGACGGATTAAGATAAAGTAAGTGGAGAACATTGCCAGTTTAGTGAGGTGTGTAGAAGATGTGATTAAGAAGCAGAAAGTTTTTCTAGTAAATGTTAGCCACTTAATAGATTGAAGGCGACCAATTAAGACAAGAAATTTAGTAATCGATTGGTTTCTTCTTTTCGGTCTTTAGGCTGAAAAATTTCCCCAAAACATACCCCTACGAAAGGCCCGACGCACTAATAAAAACAGCAATCAGGAAAAGTACCGCCAATAATAGGGTTCCGCCAGTGAAGCTCATTAAATATAGTTGATCATCTCTACCCTGGCATAATTCAAATGAAGTTCTACTTGACGATATTTCCCTTCAGTTATATTTGGAAACCAGAACAAATATCTTTGTGATATGAATTCCGATCATAGTGAGGTCTTGAAACTCGCTTGGTTATCTCTTGGCCCGTTTATTTTGGCGTGGAATCAGCTGACGTGCATATACAAATGTCATATTCCCGGAAATAGAGCGCAGTTTACGGATGTTGCTATTGTTGAGACCAGAAATCCATCACGCAATACAATACCCCATCCGGTTCAGGAAATATTCTTCGTATAATCAAGTATGAAGATAATTTCGTAAACCTTGCGCTCGCTGTTCTTCTCGATATGGATCTGCTCTGGCGTGTGAGAACACTCAGATGTACCATAGTGAATATGTGGCCATAATGAATTATCCGACGGTGTGGATTAGTAGCAAATTAAGAAATCTCAAGAACAACCAAATTCAGCGATCCCGTTGGAAGTGGTTGATATTGACTCTTGACGACTATAGCGGTGGTTCTGCTTATTCGAGAGACATTGGTTCCGATGTTGGACAGCAACCGATTGCAAAGCACTTTATATCTGGATGGGAACATGGTTGAGTGCGTAGCGTAACGAGGTCCTTGCGCGTTGACCGTGTTTGCGATAGTATGCACAGTGCGGTCATTCGTTTGTAGCATGCTCCAAGTATGTATCATTTAAAAGAGTAATCTGCTCGTTAATAAGAAGGAAAGAGAGGAGAGGAAGAGAGAGCAGGGGAGTGCGTAGAGGAGAGCGAAAAGGAGGGCGGAGAGGAGAGTGAAAGAGATGAGGGGGAAAAGAGAGCAAGGGTGTGCGTAGAGGAGAGCGAAAGAGAGTGAAGAAATTCTGAATCCTGTATATCGGTTCAACGATAACCTCATGTATTTAACTCTGCATTATAACTAGATGCGAAATCTGTATCCCCGAAATCCCTTAAGCGCAACGAACTTTTAATGATACATCATCGTAATAATGAATGCTGGAGAATTGCAAGCTCGGAAGAGTATGAACGCATGCCTAAAAATTAAGAAGCGAGCAGCAAAACGTATGACGTAAACTCTCATTACCATGAATGAGATGAGTCTCATGAGTATGAGGCCCTGCGATATTATGAAATGACCACCACCACACACGCACAACCTAGCGAAAATATGACATTATAACCCAAAGACGGCCAGCTTCTATCCTTGCTGCTTCAAGGTGCAAACAAACATCTCCTGAATAAGAGCTTTCCGTTATATGATGAAGGTTTTACGGGTATGTAGGGATTCTGATATTGTGTCAAATTATTTGATTCAAGTTCAACGCTGAACATGGACGTTTTCCCCGCCCCCTATTTCTTTCATCTTTACAGAGCCCTCAAATCAGACAAGAGTATCCGCTGAACTTAGCATATCAATAAGTGGAGGAAAAGAAACTAACATGGATTCCCCTAGTAATGGCGAGTGACCGAATTTTCTATTCATGTAAGAGCATCGTACCGGTCGGTGCTGTCTTGTTTCTGATAAATCAGTCGTACCATCGAATCTTTTGTTTATTAATTAACATAGGAGTGTTAGTAGAAAGACACCCACCCGCCCCCGCTCTCAAGTGAGCTGATTATAAATGGCTTTAACGGACACGATAGATCTGCATGACTGGGGCGATGTGTGTCTTGCGAACGACATGCAAAGTGAGTTGCCCACAGGAATGTAATATATGCATTCTCGTGTATAATCTACAGACAATAATGTGATTATATGGTGAAATGCTTGTGGTGATATCTGAATTGTCGTTGCCAATTACAGTGTCGATTTACGCAAGAGAAAAATAAAAATTACCTCTAGTTTTGAACCGTATAACCTTATCGTGTAATGTGTAATTCTTGCATGAAACCCAACTCGATATTCGAGAGGTTGAAAACCTTGAACGTAAAAGATGTGTTAATACGTACACGCTGAACAACACAATACATTTGTAACATTCCAAAACGGTTTGTTTTGTTTTTTTTTTTCGCCCAGGACATCACCTTTACGGTTAGTTTCTTGCCATTACCGTAATGTGGTTACCGGCACACTTGATCCCTTTAAACAAAAATTTAGGATAGGTCGTTAAGAGTGATAGCAGGATGGAGTATGCCCGAGTCGGTTGAAGATTTTCTCAATCCGAAGCAAATTTCTACCGTATCGTGAAAAAGTCAACGAATGGCCGAATTTGTTGTGACAAGAATGCTTCATGTCTAATATGTTTTGAACCTCCAATGCAATGTATAAATCGAATAAAGAGCCGTCTCTCCCTTATTTGCTCTGTATCAAGAAAGCATCGATTGAGTACTCTGGCATTTGGCGTTTGCATGTTGGAGGCGGGACTTGAGAGACAGGCACATAACCTCGAAAACTATGTTGATTCCGATTTGACTGGTCGTGCGCTGCTTACTTTCTCTCTTAATACTGTAAAGATTGAAAGTGTTGACCGAATTGAATTAATGGACGAATTGAAAATTGTTTTCTTGAGATTCCAAAAGACGGAATAGACATCTCGCCCGGTTTCGTTTACTACATAAAAAAAGACGTCTTGACTTTAACATACCATAATGACAATTTTCGTGTTTGAGAGAACATTGTACATTACCGATACGTCTTTTCCAGTCATCAAATTCTCTCGGGCTGACAGGGAGCAAAAAAAAATATATCCATTCCATCGATACTGGTATATTTGTTGTCGATTGCCTGGTAGGTATTTCTCCGTGCGCCGGAACCCTGCCTGGGACTCGAGCACACACACATCAAGATTCTGTTTACGGACCGTGTGATTATTATGTGATGTACCGATCATCACCAACTATTCAAAAAAGTGACATATCGGATGTTTTCCTGTTTTTCAGTAATTTGAATTAATAATGGCATTTGCAAAACTGTGGTTATACACGACAAATAGATACTCACCACCGCCCCATCGCCACTCCGTAAACAAGCCCAGCAAAAAAAAATTAGTAATTCGTTTGCAACATGTGTTACGTAGAACTAGCATCTCTTTTTAATTCGGCCCTTGGTGATTGTTTGTCAAACAACATGTTAATAATGAAAAACAAAAGGGGGGGAGAGGAGATGGAGGAAGAGATGGAGGAGGAGATGGAGGAGGAGATGGAGGAGGGGGGCAAACTTATCCTTTACATGCAACGTAAAGTTAATATCATACATTACTCGCATAGAAAAGGCTTTATATATACTCATCACGATTCCACCCGCTTATATTTGATGGTATGCATCAATGCGCAAATACTAGTGAGCGAATCTTAACTGTTTCTTGGACCTGGGAAATTTTTTCAAAAAGGAAACCAAAAAACAATGTTTATATTTGTGATACCTCCCCTTCCTCCCCTCCGAGACTTTTGTTTGCTACCGGCCAAGAGGGCACACCCATGATAGGGATGAGGATGATTTATGTATTCAATAACTTTTTTGTGTTGGTGTAATTTTCAACGTTCCGATGTTGATTAAACAAATACTGCAAGTTATTATTTGCCGCATGAGGTACGGTATATACGGATGATACTTTCGTAGACGCGCTGTTAGTCATCTTGTTATTAATTGATAGGCGCACTTTTTACAGGTTGGCAACCGGTAATGAGGAGATACCAGTATGTATCTGATCTATACACTGAATGTCTGTGGGTGAAATAAATTAATGGTTAGGATCTACTATGATTATGATGGGTTGATTGGGGTTCTATTACACTATAGACATTACACACAGCAACTGTCCATCGTTTATAGCTTTCCTCCCGCTTCCATAATGACGGATGTGCAATGGTATAGTCATTTTTTCAAAGTAAAAGATGAATTTGTAACTTGCGGTTGCCTATATTTTGTAGAAACAATTTGCCTATAGTAAAAGAATTTCGTTTTCAGCATAAAGTTTTGACTCAAAGTGTTTGTTATTTCTATTATTTGCTCGTTAGTACTGCTCTTCTCACAGAAGGTTGGCCGTATCCCCCCCCCCCCCCCCCCCACACACACACACACACACAACAATTTTGTGGATCTGTGTGTGTATTTGTGTAGATAACAGAAATGCTGTCCGACGTGTAATTTTTCAAATTTGCATGGCTGTGTCTCTTCTTTTTCTTTAAATCCCTCGTCTTAGTTATGTTTTCCTGGCCCAACTATTAACGAGGCTTACGAATACATTATAGTTTATAGCGTGGCGACGTTGTGATAGTCTTGCAGTAAAAAATAAATATGTGGAATAATCGATTTTACTTCCAAGTGTCCTTTTAGATTTTGGTTTTCATTAACTGATAACGATACGGTGATATTCAATAACTGATTTGCGAGATTTCTTATTTTAATATATTATTTATATTATTCTAACCTTTGTATTATTATAACTGATTGTTTAACCGTTTATATATAGCGATAGTTTAGATTTGCAATCTAACATCACAGAGGATAGTTGTTGTAATACATTACAAATGAAACGCCACCCAAGCGCACATTGGTGTCTATTTTTAACTGACTAATACCTGTTCCGCCTGATTGATTTTTCGTTGCACATATACTAATTATGTCATTCCGATATCGGCTGTTTGGTTTTTTTTTTTTTTACAAAGCGTATAAAAAATAGTTACATAAATTACAGTAGCCGAACAATGAGAGGAGGGGGGGGGGGAGAAAGGAGAGAGGAGTGAGAGATAGACGTTTTATGTATAAACATATAACACCAACGCATGCAACACCTGTTATGTTTCAGCCTTGAGAACATTCATGGGGTTTTGGGTTGATAACGGAACGCCGAAAAAAAGAAAAGAAAATATGATGTGTTTAGGGATAAACCGATATTTACGCCTTGTCGAACATATTTATCGCGTCGTAAGACAGGGAACTAGCTTCAGATCAGGGTACTTGCTTCCGTTAATTGGTACTCACTGTTATCTTTATGCATTATTCCTATTTAATAGATTATTATAAGTTTGCACAGTATAAATTAAAGTAGACAAGTGAATAAATATTAATTTATAGTTTACTATTAATATATATATTCAATTAATTCAATTATACATTTAATCATAATTGACGTTTTGCCAATGCCGAAGATTTGGAATATCTAAATTATTTTTCTTATTAGTTGCGCCGAATATTGATCTTTTATTTTGGTTTAGTGTAAAAATTATGTCGGAAAGCAGGTCCGATATTCGAAACACTTGAACTGGCATACGCGAGGTAAAAGATGATAAATTCGCGAAGATCATTGCAAAATTGGGAATGTAACAATCCTTATTGATGTTCCTAATTTGGTAAAACTAAAGTAATTCCAACAAACGAATTAAGAAATTTAGTAATGATTACAGCGTTTATGAATATATAATAATAATACAAGGTAGTAGGATGAAACACTTGATTGCAGTTAGTTTTACTCATTTGGGAATCTTCTCAATAGCGGTAAAGACTAGTTATTCATTGTGATCGCCCATATGGATGACTGCGTAGTTCTACTACCACAACGATAAAGATCAAGTTGACCTTTTGAACATTTATATAAATGAAACAAGGAGTAAACTCTTAAACGCTTTCACATAAAACGATGGTATGAATAGTCACACTAGAGCCTGTTACTTGGGCAACTGGAGTTGCTATGGTGCAACGGCTAGTCAAATCGCTCATACGCTCAGTATTACTGGTAATCATAATATTACAGCCGGCAACTTTATTGATATCAACATTTGCCATGTTACAGACATGTTCTGCCTATTACTATAACACATGACATGCTCGTAAAACTTCTAACCGTCTGTCAAAAAGGTCCCGTTTACCAAGATATTAAAACGACATAGCTGACGATTTATCAATAAACCACATAGCTGACGATTTATCAATAAAACCACATAGCTGACGATTTATCAATAAAACCACATAGCTGATGATTTATCAATAAAACCACATAGCCGATGATTTAGCATTTGATAAAAATTAACCGACTTTGCTAATTGTTAAACATTTTTAATATTCCTGTTGACAACGACCCTTTTGTTAGAATTAGTAATGTTTATCTGATTGATGCAACTGCTCTGATGGATGACGTAGAAATGAAAAGGGGGACAAGCAAAGCAAAGCAAAAGCAAAGCAAAAAGCAACCCTAATCCAGAATATTCGCGGGAATCGGTAGATGGTTAAATTTGACCGAATATGGATAATCGAATGTCGAAAAAGGGGGGGGGAGATTTGAAAGGGAAAATTTCCATACACGTTTGACGGTCTAGAATTTCAAAGAGTAGGTGACATGCGGGCTTATGTACAAAGGCAATCGGTAAAACAGGTATAACCGATGCCTATCATTCGAATGTATGGGAACGGCGCTATATCGACCAAAGAAGTAACAAAAAAAAAGGCTGACACAAATGTCTAGACTTAATATTCATGCCGTGTAAATCTCATGCACTTTGCAAATCCCCATCATGGAGCATTACCTTAACTTTGATATTTCAACAATGGTCAGCCAGACCGATTAGCAGATAACGTACGAAATATGGCAGAGAAATGAAAGACGGAGGAATGGAGTAAAAGAGGAAATACGTCTTGTCTTAAAAGGCCTACACCACATGAAACATTCCTACTTATTCAACCAAATGGGATACAAATTCGACAATTTGTCAATGTCCATTGATGAGTGATGATCCATACATTGCATGGGTGCACATCATGATCGACGTATCTATCCAATTATTGTATTATGAATATGTCGTCATATCATCTCTTTTCTTCCCCCAATCGAACATCTCTTTTTTTTTTTTTTTCAGCCCAGATTAGATCGGAAAAAATATTGTTTGCTATTATTAGTAAAGTGAGTACAGCTATCAGGCCAGGTTTTGAAAGATGTGTTAACATCTTTACCATGGATCGTTATCCCGATTTCCTATTTCAGCACTCTTAAATAATTGTAACATGTTTGTTCTTATCATCGGAGAAAGCGCAAAAACCGGCCTTGTCTGAAACAAAAGAACCAAACGCTGATAATTTAAAACTCTATTTATTAAATATACAGACATTTTAATCTTATCGTATTTAATTAGTCTTATTTTAGATTACAATTGCTTTGTTTATTTATTATTATAGTTCCCTGATCAAAGTTCCCCCGACCGAGTGATACACATAATCCCAATTTTCACCTATCGACAGACAAACAGGGAATTCCCCTTCTGTCGATAAGCAAATGACGAATGACCATGCATACTTCCCAATGTGAATGTTTATATTTCCAAAGATGATTGACATGATAGGACGTGAGCCCAAACATTCTTTTGTTTCTTTTCCGCACGCCTCATCATAGTATTGTATCTAACGCACAAGATCTCATGTTAAAGCAATCTTGTTTGATCAGGGATTTCGCTTGGCAGGAGTCTTTCAGCATCATCGTCGGTGTGACTGTAGATACCAGTTGACTTTTTTTTTTTTCTGGTTGTGCGACAGCTGCCGTGGCTCGTTATTATTATTGGTATTAATGTACCAAGGCATTTTCCTGCGCAGATTATTAATTGCGCGTTGAACTACACTTTTTTTGGCAAGAACATCTGCAGTGATTCTTGAATTACTTATCGGGAATTACAAACGCAAGAGCCAATATTAGGTTTGACGTTTACCTAATCTAAATGGAAACCTTAATTTAACCTATAACATCTTTTTGATAGCGACAGGAGTATTTTAAACTGATGCATACAACAGAACAAACAAAGAAACTAGGCGAGTTTTGAGCGTTGTGAATGGTGTAGAATGCAAGTACCGATTACGCCTTCTCTCATCCTCCTTCTGAGATGCAGTAAATAGAAAATCGGACTTGTGAAATAAATTCATTTCTGACATTTTGCTTTCCCCTTTCCCCGAAAACTGTTATCGGGCTGTAATGGTTCTTATTTCGTCATTGAGAACCCAATTTGTGCTTACTATCAATTAACTGATGGGAAATCATTGATGTATGTACAGGACGGCGTTAATTCAATTAGTATTGCCTTTCTAGATTATGCGTACCACAATGTAAGCATAAACTAATCAACGATAATGATATTGCTCACCCCATCTCACTTTGTTTGATCTAAATATAACTTTTTGCGTATCTTGACATATGGAGTTGCGACTCCGTAATTAATTAAATATTCGCCCGCACTCGATGGGAGGAGAAAAATAATACATACACAATGGTTGGTTACAAACATTAACCAGAGCGGACCCATAAGATATAACATTGCGACGCTCAAGAATTTCCCTTGATGCTGTGTCACAATAGTTTTAAAAAAAGAAAAAAGGAAATGATCGAAACGTTACGCATGTTGCGCAAGGCACTCAAGTTACTCAAAAGTAATTGTACATCAAACCTCTTTGAAGATCATATATCTTATCGCTTATGTTTATTTTATTTTAATACTGAATACATGACAAAGAAAAAAGGGGGGAGGAATTTAAATTGCTGGCTACAACAAGGGAACAAAAGACCTCTTATACAAATATTTATACCGAAACAAACCAAAAACAGAAACATTATGTCCTCAACTAATTTATTATTACTACTCGAATTATCCATTTATTGGGGGCTCTGAAAGAGAAGCAGGTTATGTGTGTGTTGCTTGTGTGTGTTGCTTTCTGTTTGTGGGCGTGCGTGCGTGTGTGTCTGTCTGTGTGAAGCAAGTTCGATTGATAGACGTTCTACAAACAGTACATTGGTAAACACATTATATTATTACTGCACCCAATAATTGGATATCCGATCAACGTTCAAAAAAAATTTTTCATTTAGTTTGGGGGTATAATACAGCGTGGTAAAAAAAAAATATTGAAAAGGGTTAAAAAATATAACAATAAACTAAAAAAGGGAAAAAACTATGTATACGAAGGGAATTGGGAGAGGTAATACTATGTATAAGAAATGACGAAAGACAGATAAACGAGCAGTATATACCTAACGAAATCATAAATATAACAACTTTGCAACAACCTATTCACCAATATATATATATTAATAATACTAATAGTAGTAGCGGTGGTGGTGGTGGTGGTTGTTGTTGTGGCAATATATATATATATATAAAAGAGTCTCTCTTTCTATCTATCAATGTTTGTATATATCCTTGACGAAAATAAAAAAAAATCCATCATATGTCATTTCTTGGGTTCTCCCACATGTATCCCTCCATTTGCGAAAGTAATTCTTCAAAGTTACTATTGTCCAGTCCGAATCCGCTTTCGGCAATTGTTTGAGCGTCTATCGGGATTTCTGGGGTTTCAGTTTGTTGGCTAGTTAAAGGGAAATCCTCGTATTCTCCCACATTCCACGAATCGTTGCTCAAGATGACCGGTTCAGAATCGCTTATTGGCGATACCGGTACGAAATGATACTCTTGTGGTGAGTATAAAGGAGTGGTGCTGGCCTCAGGCGTAGGAATAACCATGAGATAGCTTGGTGAAGGCATTGGTGTGTTGAGAGAAACCAGACTCTCTGGAGACGAAATCAGCGTAGGTGTCGCAGGCGAATCGGATGGTGTAGTAAGGGTAATGGAATAGGTGGGTGCTTCTGTTTGCACAACAGTTTCTTTGGGGTCTTCCACAGGAAAATCTTGGACAGGAAAACTGGTAATGAGATTTCCCGCACTGTTGAGGATTGGCGAGTATGGTTGGAATATTTGCCTTCTCACCGGTTTGTAAGTGTAGCCAGGATATCTTATATGGTGAAGCCGTTCGGCTTTTGATGACAAATCTTCGTAGAGTTGTTTCGACTCTTTTGGAGCCTCATCCCACAAGTCGCGTGCTTTACGACACAATTCGGGCATCTTGACTTTGAGATTCATTTCTCGGAGTATCAAAAGTAAGGCATTTTTCATGAGGAAAAAGGAATTGGGAGGACGGGGTGGCCTGTCGGAGGTCCTTCTTTCAGTGTTTTTGGTGTTGATGAGCATCTCGACTTTGTACTTGGGAAAGAATACCGCATTCTTGTCGAGATCGTCGGGAATCTTGTGCGAGTGACGACGGTTGGAAGATGCTGAGCGAGAGGAATGAGAACGAGAGGTTGGTATGGCAGTCGATGCGACTTTGTTCAAAGAGGAGCCACATGCACGTTGAAGTGTTTGGTTTTGGCGTGAGTTGGAAACTTGCTTGGCTTGAGGATGCATTTTGATATTTTGTTAATTTGTTTTTGTAATTGGCAGTATTCGTTATCGTTTTTCGTAATTGGTTTTTAGTCTAAAGACGGAGGATACTGTTGTATCTATAATAGTTGTAATTGCCGGGTCGATACAATGTTCGAAAGTAGGTATATATATGCGGTCGGTAAAATATAACAAGAGTTTTAAACGAGTTTATCGATAATTGCGAGTATAGAAAAGCGTGGTGTATAAAGATCGCTTAGAGCGTCTACCGAAATTTGGTTTACCGAAAATGGCTTTTATGTAATTTTTCGAATGGCGCAGTTTCTGTCAACTGAAGGGTATTATATCTCTAATAGAAAAGAAAAAGGTTAAGGTTTTTGTGACGAATTCTTGTATAAAACTTATCGATTATACAAATGGAAAACGAAAAAGTTATTGTGTTTAAACGTAAGCCTTGATGAGTAGCTTAACCTTGTTCCAAATCGTCAAAGAGCCCTGGTATTTATATTCGAAGGGGTAACACTAGAATTCTCTCCATCTGTATTAAATAAAAGACAGGGTACATAGTGTTTCACAGTTCATTCGACTATGAGCATGTTTGTGAATAAGTTACGGTAATATAAATAATAAAATAAATACATATATGTCTGTATAAATAATTTTGTCCTTTGGTGATAATACAGGGTTGTAGTACATGAATGGGATGTAAATCGATTAGTATTGTAAGCGGGATGGGAGCCAGGTGAATGCAATGATTGTACGCACAAACACAACTTTACTGCGTTAGAACTGAAAATGAATAGAATTTCCAAAATTACTCGGGAACGAATGAACTATTCATAGAACAGAAGCAAGGAAAATGTTCCATGAATGCCACTTAACTCTGCCAAGTATTCTCTATTACTCTTATTACTGTAACTGCAATAATCATTTTACTGCCACCGCTACCAACTGCCATCATTCCACTCCATTCCATTACATGCCATTCCATTCCGTTACATGCCATTACATTACATCGCGCCCCCCTTTTCCATTGAAATAGAATATACGCTTACGCTAACATTTATTGTAAGAGACAATGGTCAGTTATACATATTTGTTTACAGCTGAATGACTACTGTTCCCAAGAGATTTTACAGCGGAACGTTTTTGGTTTTTTTAAATAAAGTGAAAACTTGGCAACTGTGGTCGAGAATGAGGGGGGGGAGATGAGGGGAAGGCCGTTGATAGGTTTTCATGCGGTTTTACCATAGTTACTGATAAAGTAATAATCGGAGCTCCGAAACGTGTGCCATTTCAACTGTTTGATGAATATTTTCCTAACTGTTCTACGGAGCAAGAAAAAACAAGATCAGCAGGATATACACAAAGAATTACGTACTCATGTATGACCACATCATGATATCAACCAAAATGCACACTGCTATCATCCGATATGTATTCTATACCGGGTGTTGTCTAATATTAGTCTCATGTTTACTTTGCATGTTGATTCTTTGATGCCTAGTCTGGTTAAGACTTTCACAAGTTGTGGGAAAACCCGCAAGTTTCTGCTTACGCTTCCCTCTCCTCTCCTCTTCCCCCCTCCCTTAACTGATAAACAAAACCCGTTCGCAAAAATCTGACTAGCCGTTTGTGTGATGCATGTCTCGGCAAAATTTGTCCTACCGTTCTTGAGGGAAATTCCCAGGTAAAAATCTCATCTAGTTTATTTTTAGAATTTCACATTTCTATCAATGCCATGACCAATGAAATGACCCACGTAGCAGGACACAAGCAGGTTTTGAACCGCAGTATGGAAAAAGTATACTAATTATAAATATATATGCATATAGTGTGTCCGCCTGATGCCTTGTCCTTAATATTTACTTTTAGTGCGCATTTATTTATTTTGTTTTACAATAAATTATAGTAAGGATGACAGTGTCGTGTGATTGTGTGTTTACCGGGAAACGTACACTAATCGACGCTTGCTGTTTCAGAATCAGCCATGCAGCAAGCCACTACTGATTATCACAAAGTGCATACACAAATAGAACCATTCGAAAAGGTGACGCAGTAACATTGTCTCACCGCCCGGAATTCATTCTCCAGCCATGTTACTCTTTCTTCACTTATAGGTCTGATGCTTGACACTATCATATCACAAAACGTGCCAATTAAATGAAATGGAACAATCATGAGGCTAGCAAAGAGAGAGTACCCGTGGAAAAAAAAAAAGAAGAAAACTCTTAAAGATTTATTTGCAACAGTAGGGCAGTTACTCAATCTCATTGTTGGGGTTACGGCAGTGGCGAATTAATATGCATTCAGCATCCAATAGATATTAACTAATTGCGATATCTCATTGCAATAATGACTCAACTATAGTAGCCCGTCTCTATTTTTGTATCTCTTCCAAGTATTTTAATAAAAGCAAATCTTACCGCAAAAGTTGTGTATTCCCACCTTTCTTTTTTGTGTCTTGTCTTGCCCCCCTTCTCCTTTCCGCCTCTGTTACCTTTCCTTTTCCTTTTCCCTATCACATTCATCACCCCCCCCAAAGCAAAATTGGGCATGACTGCCCAAAATAAGAATATGCATGCGCCGATTATATTAACTTTATTGCTTGCCCAGCTAGGACAATACTTATACTACAATAACTATATACCATTATACTTGAAACTCAAATGTGTTGCGCACACATGCACCGTCAAGTTGTCCTAATAATATGTGTAATGTCATGTGCTGATGTGCTTTGTGCGCATGATATAACAAGACGCAAATACCGTATATTGTATGGTTTGATATGTATGCACTTGCATTTCGCAGTTGTCACCCACCGTTCTTTTTAACGTTTGTTATCAATGTTTCAGCCTAGATAGACGGTTAATCTGCCATACATTTGGTTGGTAGGAAAAGAAACAATGTCGAACGAATCAGAAACATACATCCTTCGGTTGTCCCGTTCTCGACCAAAAAAAATATCTATGTGAATGGGGTGTGAGAAAAATGCGGCCCATTTGCTGAGATGAAGGGTAATGACAAGTGTCTCATGATCCACACCGCATGTTATTACTGGCAGGTGACCAAAATAATGTCTTACCGACAAAATTTTACACAAACATTTCATTTAATTAACTGATGTTTAGGTCTAACCGTTTCTATACAATACCTTCTGTATAGAATAAACTGGGTCCCGAATAGGTATAGAGTATATGTAAAAGCTGTTATTCTTTGCTTCACCTTTTTTTTCTCTAGTCATCTTCTTTTCCCACCAAACATTGTAAATCATTGAACTGTGGGGTTCTTACCTCATCCCCAAAAATAACTTATTTCCGCTTGGAAGGGAAAGATTTTCTTGCATACAACTTTCGTAATCATTACGTTTTACAATCGTTTTATCGCTTTACTAGAGTATTGCAATCTCGTTTTTTTTTTCCGTCGACCCAAAATAAAGACAACAAAAGGAATACAGATGACATTATTTGTTCCAATATGTGATAACTGCGAATGTCGGGGTGTAACATCGATTAGACGGAAAAATTATTTATCACTCCATTCATCGTCAACTTTCTGATTAGCCTTTTGATTTACCAATTAATAAAATAAATTAATTTAATAATGCTTTATTAACTGCATTATTCAAACACTCATGCAAGATTTTAATCGTAGCGCAAATAAAATTTTTGCCAAAATCTTTACCATAAAAGGGTAAACGCTCAATTACGAAAGCTTTCGAACAATCGCTTTTTTGATTGTTATTTTCGGAAGGTGTTATCTCTTTTCGAACCAAAGAAAACGGCCTAACGAATTCTAGTTTAAGTTTTGCACGCCTGTCAATCAGTTAATAGGATATTGAATTAGCTCTTCTTTACTTTTAGAGACAATCTATTGTAGAACAGCGTTTGTGTTTACAAGTAAGTCAAAGTTTGTACTAACGTTTTCAAAGACACAAAGCCCCCCTTTGTTTGATTTTATACCAATAATATGACGTTATATCATTAATAACCATATCTACGCGTCAAAGCATGTAATTGGGTATAGCTAATCTATCTTCACACAAACCGGTTTTAAAACGCCTTGCCTACTTTTTGACGGAATGGCATTTATGTAAACTAAACGGGAGATATTATCACTTTGCCAAGATACCCACAATTACTTGTTACAGGGTCTTTCCTGATGACATTCAAGGATCTTGCATGCGAAACATTTTCATGTGCAAAAGTGGGCGTCTTGTTGATGATTAATTCTAACGTTTACGCGTCGGAGATAATCGCCGCTCGTACCGAATGCTATTTTTATCGCAACGTAGATGGGACGTTCTTATTTAATCTTTATTTTTTACTTATAGGACTAACTTGAATGCATATAACAATCGAACGGAGTAAACGTATGAAGATACAGGGATACGTGCATGCACTATTGGTTACAATATCCGTCCTGTTTGTGCGGATATTATTTATTTACTTGTTTGTAGTTCCGAACATCGAGTCGGGTATCTGCTATTGACGAATGAACAAAGAGGACAAGGGCGGCCATTCGTAAGAGAACTAAAAAGTAAAATTTTATTTGTTACATGTACTGAAGACCCATTCAATTTTGTGCAATAGATGTACAAATGCTTAGAACAAGCTTTACCCGAAACTTGTCTAATTAGACAATTCCTGAATAACAAACATGAAAGCCGTACATACAAATAAAAATTGCCTTGCGTTTATATTAGAAATCGGCTTTATCTCGGTTTTACAATATACGTGTATTCGCCAATTTCTTTTTTAAGATTATAAGCGTCTTTTTATTCCTCAGAGTTTGAAAATTTTGTGACAAATTAAGAAAATCTTGTACAAAATCGATTGTTTCAACGTTTGAACTGCGAGACTAGTTATCATTGGTTAAGAAGTCTGCACACATAGAATCTTCCCCAAATACGATGACAGTCTATAAATAGATGGACGGTGGCTAAGGCGGGTTACACTGCATCTCAGCTGATAAAACTAAATTCAATTTAGTACCAAAATTCCTACAATTCGGAACTGAACTCC